AGTAGTTTAAAAAAAACCCTTGTGTAGAATTTTTAGGGAAGGAAATTGAAAATGAATTTCAGGGGGAAGGTAACAGTATTTAAAAGATTAGGTGCGCCTTGGTGACTGCCAAGACCGGCAAGGGCGCGTCCGCTTTTTTCCAAGGCGCACATGACCTGTGTACTCCGGGTATGTGGGACCAACCTCGCGTCGAACCCAGCCCGCTTGAACCCGAGGTCGTTTGAACCCAAGGTGATTTGTTTCAGGCGAGGTCGGTTCAGCTTGTGACCAAAAGACTTCCGGAGGGGACTAGCCTATTCATGTAAATCCCAGGCAGGGATAAACGGCCATCAATCATAAATAGCCGGCGGATCGAAATCCCCGTACGGATTACATGCTACGACGAGTACCCTAGACGGCAACTTAACCATGGAGTTGCGAGTATAGGGCTGTTGACAATATGGCTCCTGCGGATGATCAAATTCTTGAAAGTGCCGTAAATACAGACTTAAGGAAATGCATAACCATAGACATCTTGCATCAAAAGTAGTAAGGCATGCGCTGAATGCAAAGCGATCGAGGTCGTGTAATTATCCGTCTCTATCCAAGTCTTGGTTAATGGCGATGCAAAAAAATCCATCCGGGGAAAAAAAAAAAAAAAAGAAAGAAAGAAATTTCTGTGCATCATCCGTGAATCGAACACGGGCCTCATCGATGGCAACGATGAATTCTACCACTAGACCAATGATGCTTCGATGAAGTAGTGGGAATGTTTTACGCTACATACTCCCGCCTTATTATTTCCAAGTTACCGCTGCTACATCATCAAGGGTCATACACGACTTGGTAACATAATGTGCCATTACTCGAGGTTTTTGCATTTCTTTGCTATTAGCAGACCTTATCTTGCTTTAATGTACGTCCTGAATTTGAAAATATGATGCCACTTTGATGTGTGGGGTTTGATATGTTTCTCATGGAATATGATGAGCTGGTTGTATAAATCCGACACTGGATAACCCAGAGACATGAAACTGTCAGGTCGGTTCTTCGAGTCAACACAAGGGAGCCTAGCATCATGAAAAAAAGCCAACCCGTATTATAAATTCCATCCAAGAGGCTGATGAAACTGAAATAAGACACCATGATAACCAGCACAGTACAGTGAAAAGGGGAATGAAATTGCTGGTTACCAGAGGTTAGGACACGCCCCGATCGCCCGACCGTAGGTCCCCGCCATAGAATGATGTAAAGTATAAGTATCCGAAATTCCTCCTATCACACAGGCGAACCTCTGGACACATGTCAGCAATCTAGTACCATAGTACCTTTTCGCAGTATAGGAAAAGAAATGGTTCGAATTAATATTTCTGATCCGACCCGACCTGGTCTTTCGACAAAGGCCATGGGGTGGTGGTAAGTAAGCAGCAGCAGGCCACGACCGTCAGACTCGACAAAAGAGGTTTAAAAATCGGGTATTGAACTACATAGCCAACCAAAAGAAGATCCATTCCAATAGACGCTTTTTTGAATAGAAATGGATGTATCGCAGTTACAAGTCACATGGGGAAGGACCAGGAAGACCGAATGCTTTTGGTGGTGAGTGGGAATTGACCACTATAAAGACTTTTATTTTCCCGAAAAGTAACCAACTGCCCGGTTAGCTCAATCGGTAGAGCGTGTGGCTGTAAGTTCCCACTTAAAATCAGTCATTCGTCTGACTCAATCACTAACATCATCCCAGTTTATGAAGCACACCTCAAGGTTGCGAGTTCGAGCCTCGCATCGGGCGTTTCTTTTTTCCCTTTTATTTTTTTTTCAGTTTTCCTTCCCACATAGCCTCTTCGCCCATACTCTTTACTTTTATTCTACTCAGGAAATACCAATGTCCCCCTTGTCCTGGACGTCAAAACAAAGCTCTGTTCTTCTACGACTCCGTCTATCGCCAGCTTAATGCATATTCTGAATTTACCTCCCCTAGCTAGTTATTGCGTAGCAAAAATAAAACATTGCGACCGTTACTATTATCCGAAAGCAAAAATTTCCGCCTTAGGTGTCTACATGGTCGGGGATACCCCATAGCTTCATGTATTACGCAGACCTCATAGGCCTGGTCTTTTAAGTATTTGATTGATCCTTGAAATCATGTGCCCTCACAGCTGACAGCGACTCTCCCAAGGTCAAAACTCGGGGGCTGACCTACCACTAGGGATAACAGATAGAAACCAGGATGATTAGCGTAACCGTCAAAGCGCAATCAATGTACTATACTACTTCCTCAACGGAGAACAATACATGCCTTGATAATTTGCTACATTCGAGACCATTATTGGAGTAAGGCAAGACACAAATAAATGCCAGAAAATGTTTGAGCTGACGGGAGAGGCATTTATCTCCTTCCGCATTATAGCATTGTGCAAAAAAATGTCTGACCAGATGAAACTTGTTCTATACCCACGGACAATTTTATTTAGTATCAAAACCAAGATTCCGAGTCAACGTGTTAGCAAGAAAGAACAGTTGATCACCCTCAAGTAGACCAGTCAGATGCGGATGGCGGATGGCGGAACTCAGAAACCCGATTTCAAGGATCATATCTATGGATCACTGTTTTGCCTTTCGGATTGGAAGCTTGGTAATACAGGCGAAGGCTGTCCCACAGTATCTGGCATAAGAGCCCCGTGGAAATGAGTATTGATAATAGACATATCTCCGCGGTGCAGTTACATGGGCTCTGTACCATCAATCAGAGTCCAACAGAAGATTCAAGTTAACCTGAAATAGGACCAATGTCAAAGAGTCGCACGACCGGATGATATGTGATTTCGGCCAGGTTCCTGTTGAAAAGTGGCTGGATGGCTGAAATGCAACACATGCACTGGCATAGAATCCCAGACATATGAGTCGTAGAGCCATCAACCAGTACCGGGTGTGTACCAAGGTTAAACATGTGCACGCGCCTTACTTTTACTCCACACAAGCTGCCACTGACAAAATGCCGAAGTATATTGATATGCACCACTGAGCCCTCCCTTTACTACACGGTAGCCGGAGAAAGGTAAGCATAGAGCCCTGGAAGCGGGTTCGGATCCGAATGATTCGGCCAAAGCTCGGATTCCAATATGGTTCCCTGTTTTGGCTGTCCTCGAAACCTGGCAGGAGTTCTTGCCCACGATTACCGTGTTGTTAGTAATATCAAACCCTGGTTACTGGGTAACCTTAATAGCCACAGGTGCTTACACATGACCCAATGCTGTGGATAGGAACCAAAAAAGCCAACCAGCATCAGTGGGAGTGGGTCTAACAGATCTGTGCTGGATCACTTCACTGCCACCGATCAGGGACTAAGACAGTATTGCCTATTTCCTGATAGAGATCTAAGAAGAATGTACAAACGTACCTTCCATCAAGTTTGATAGTCAGAGGAAAATATAAATATTAGAAACGGAAGCACATAATCTGTAGTTGAGAGTCAGCAATTGCATTTATTGAGTTGCCACAGAATATGAGAATCACCCAATAGATCCTTTAAAAATCTTTGAGAGCCCCAAGAAGTATACTCGTGCTATCTCATCATGGATCCAGCAGTATGGGAAGTCTTTCGCGAGCTTCCCGGAATCGTTGAGCGACGAAGATTTCTATGTGATCGAGAAAAGATCATCAATCGCCCAAGCAAAGAGCAACTGGCCAAGCTGTCAAGCCTTCCCCTCCCTGACAAAGGACGTTCAATAGAAGGTGTTATCAAAGATGTCGAAGAAATCCTCTCTTATCGATACAACATCGGCCACCCAAAGTTTTTCTCTTTTATACCAGCGCCAGTCTCACCATTATCATGGTTGGGCGATGTTATTTCCACTGCATTCAACAACTATGCAGGAAGCTCCGAATCGGGAGCCGGGATCTGCGCCACTGAAGATTCTATCATTCGTTATGTTGCTGAGAAGTTTGGATTGCCTCCGTCAGCAGGTGGTCAATTTGTCTCCGGTGCCTCTATTGCTAGTTTGACTGCACTTACAGTCGCCAGAGATCAGATCTTGGACGGTGACATGCGCCAAAAAGGAGTGGCATACGTGACGGATGAGACTCACTTCTGTATTTCAAAAGCCCTCCGTATCACAGGGCTCTTGGATCACCAAATACGGACTGTGCCTCGCAATGCAAAGTTTCAGATGGACACAGACCATCTTCGCCGTGCTATCATTGAGGATCTTCAAAGCGGATTGAAGCCATATCTAGTTGTCGCTACCAGTGGCACAACCGGCACTGGGAGCATTGATCCTCTGAATGAGATAGGAGACATAGTGCGCGAATATAAAATGTGGATGCACGTTGATGCTGCTTATGGAGGCTCTGTTGCCTTCTGCAAGTCCCACAGAAGACTCCTCAAAGGCCTAGGTCGTGCTGACAGCATTGCCTGGGATCCACACAAATGGTTGCTCCAAACCCTCGGATGCAGTGTCGTTCTTTTCAAAGAGAAGTCTCACCCGCCCGAGAGCTTCGCCATGACAGCGCACTTCCTGCGCGACTTCGACCACGGGCTGCAGAATCCATGGAATTATGGAATCGAGCTGTCGCGGCCTGCACGCCACATGCGACTCTGGTTCTCTCTTCAAGTCCTTGGTATGGATATGATCGATAGGATGATATCGCGGGGGCTCGACCTTGCCACTCTCGTTGAACGCAAATTGCGGAAGCGTGAGGATTGGGAAATCGTCTCGCCCAGTACTTTAGCGATTCTCAACTTTCGATTCAAACCAAAGGGCATGAATGAGGAGGATGCAAATGAAATAAACAGTTTCGTGTCTAAAGAGTTAGCGGCCCAGGATGTCGCCGTTATCTTCACCACGTGTCTTGATGGGGCAGTGTGTCTTCGGATGTGCACCATCAACCCGCGAACGACGAATGACGACATCCAGGAAGTCGTTGAGGCTCTCGATCTGAATGCGCGAGCTATCAGCAAGCGATTTTCCGACTCAAAGCCTGTCTTCCATAATTGACAATATACGGGAATATCCGGGCGGAGAAAGAGCGTGCCACGGTTGAAGCAGTGGAAAGCCGCATAGTTCGCGAGGAATGGCAGGTGGTTTGTGTGGAAGGTGTTTCCTGCGCTGACTTAGTCAGCTGACTGTTTAACTAGTTAGTTAACTAGTACTGCGGCGATTCGGTTTACTTGCTTTCTTTTACATATTTTGTATTAGTAAATGAAATCTATATATCAAACCGTCTAGTTTATGGGCACCTCGCCCCCTGATAACCTTTCAAACCGGAAACCTTTGCTGACCAGACCACCTGATTTCAACCAAGCATTGAGCTCACTTGGATGAACAACGTGGAAAAGAAGCATAACCACAAACATGAGAAGTGCGTCGAATATATAAAGGTATGCTTCATGTGAGATCAAGTATCCCCCGAATCCCTCAATGTATTCGACAAGACGATAGACCGATCGCACCAGGATAAGTACACTAGCCGCATACAGCACCAGTATGAGTTTCCTCCAATTTATGCCAGAGCCGAGAGAGTATGATCGCGGATCTTGTTGGATTCGACGGTGGAAGATACCCGTGGTGATGATGAAGAAGCCGAAGAAAAGAATTTGGACGACGAGACCGACGACGATGATGTGCGAACCGGTTTGTAAACCACTTTCTGAGTGACTTCCCATTAAACCAGCCCCTATAAAGATCGGTTGTTAGTGACTATGTGGACATTTGCGATTTTAATGAGGTGTTCTTGCCTCCAGCCTGAAGTAGGAAGGATAAAACATCCCCAGTCACGAAAATTTTGGTCAACCAATTCACTCGAATGAGGCTATGCTTCTGAGCATGCAGAACAATGATCAATCTCCCCAGTTCCATATAGATACTGGCAGCGAATAGAGCCGGTGCAACAAGGGGAAGTAGGGACTGAATTAGGAACGGTCCTAGAGTCCAGTTTGGGGACTGGTTGCTTGAGACGGCGCGGGCGCAGTACCCAATGAATTCAACTATTTCGGATACTGATCAGATATAAGATCCAGCTAGTATGTAAGCTCTTGACTTACAGTATCCCCCGACGACAAACGATATAAAAAACCATGTTCTGGTGCGAATGAGCTGGTACGTGTGTAAAAGTGTCGTGAACAGAAAGCAGATGATGAATATCACTGCCGCAGCAAGGGAGGGATAGTAATAGTAGTACTCAAAACTTGAGCGCGTTGCAAGACTCATTGTTCCTCTCTATCTCTTTTCCTCGAGGACCTTGTATCAAGCCTTCTCCTTTTCGAGGCGTGTAAATCTCAGGTCCTCGACTTCGGCTCAGCCTTGACGGGGGGTGGGGGCAGAGATTAAGTATTTCAACCGAAGCCATCAAGCAGGTGAATACGTCTCCCCAGCCGAAAACTATACCCATTCGAGCAAAAAGAACGGCATTCTGAGGGTGAGTGAAGGCAGTGTCGTTCTTGTGGAGAGACCCCGGGCCCACTCAGGGTGCACAAAGGGGCTCGTAAACGCATCTCCAGGAAATAGTCATCAATGCACAGGGATTGATTGAACCTTAGAGGCCGCGCGACAGTCCCCGCTGGGTTATGCAGATTGTTGATGGCCGTTGCGGAAGATGGACGGGGAACAAGAATAGATCGGTGGAGCGACCACGGGTGCTGATTGGCGAGCTAGCTGATCCTAAGGCCCACGCGTCTCGAAAACCATGCCAAATCAGGCATAGATCACGAGCAGCGGGTGCCTCAGGACGCAGGCCGGCAGCCCCGGATTCATTCATTCATCTTCGAATTTGACGCCGGAATCCATCTGCCTA